CCCCTCAGCCGCCCTCCTGGCTGCTCCGGCCGCTGCCTCAGCCGCGCACAGCCCCGCCTCTCCACGCCGGAAGTCGCTGGTCACGAGAAACTGAAGAATGCCCCGCAGCCTGCTGGGAGGTGCAGTCCGCACCCGCGCAGCCTTTTTGCGCATGCTCAGTCCGCACTGCGCCTGCCTATTTCACTTCGTGCGGAAGGAGCCGGGAAGGGCAATTTCCGCCCCAGAAGAAAGGGTTTCTGGGAATAGCGGGTTTTTGGTAAGCGAGGTTGCACCTGGTAGACCCGATTCGTCTTTCGGGCACTAGGGAACTCACCCTTGAACTTGTAGTTCCAACTCCTGTGGAGGGCCGTGGAGGGCTGGAGATGCTGTGGTAGAGAATGTGGCGGGCTCCGTAGAGAAATGGAGTGGATCGGTGGGTGGGTGAACTTGAGTGGCCCAGGGAAAACCAGACACTTAGGGGCGCTAGAATGGAGAACATTTGTCTCCAGAGAGAGAACCTGTAGAACAGGAATTTTAAATCATACACATCTATTGTCTAGTTTTAGAAACAATAGAGAATGGTTTGGAGTGTAAAGGTGGAAGCAAGGAGACGATGAGCCTTCTGTGGTCTTCCAGGAAACAGATACTGTGCCCACTTTGCTAAACATTTGATGAATATTTTGGAGACAAAAGTTACCAGAGCTTGGGGTGGGTATATCTAAGGGAATGAGCATGTCAGAAATGAATCCAGTCTGACCCGTGTAGCTAGGCTGTTACTGACGTGGGAAAGCAGGAAGGAACGCATTTAGAGTGAAGATCAAGGATTCAGGTCTCTTAAACTGGAGATGGATGCATTGCAGGGATCTGGGCTCATAAGGCAAGTGTCATGCACACACTGTCCACGTCCCCTTTACAATGAGCAAAAACGCCTCAGAGTTCAATACCCGGTACCAGGAAAAAAAAAAAGAAGAAGAAGAAGAAATCCAACCCTGGACTGCAACATCAGCTCATACCCAAATTTCCAGTCCACCAGCCATCCCTGAACGCTTTGGACTCACCAACACTTTGGACTCACCAACCTTCAGTTGTGCGAGCCACTTCCTCAAGCTCTGTCTGTCCCCTGTTGCTTTTGTCTCTGGAAAACCCTACAGCAAGCCCCACTCCCACCACGTTTCCATGGCTCTGAACTCAGGAGAGTGGTCTCCTTGGGGGTGGGGACAGAGAGGGACTCTTTGAGCTCCGTGAGTTCCTGTTTTAACCAGGGCACTGGGTACAAGGAGTTTGCTTATGTGGGAGGACAACCCAAGCTGCATGCTTGTCTTGAACATTTTTTTGTACATGTGTTGTATAGTTCAATAAAAATGTGAAAAGTTCATTCCAGGTACATTAGGGGCTAACAAGAGAAAGGCAGATTTCTCACTTTTAGAAGAAGCTATTATATATGATTTTATCTTTATTAACTCAAGTAGGAAAGAATTTCTTAAAAATTCAAAAAGCACTAGCAGTGAAAGAATATCTCAGATGTTCTTTTCTCTTTTTTTTGGTACTGGGGATCGAATTCAGGTCCTTGTGCTTGCAAAGCAGGCAGCAGAACCACTGAGCTAAATCCTCAGCCCCTTAATATCAATAGGCCTGCCTCCCAAGTGCAAGGACCCGAGTTCGATCCCCAGTACCAAAAAAAAAAAAAAAAAAAAAAAAAAAAAAAAAAGTTAAAAAAAAAGAATATCAATAAATTAAGCCTTGTTAGAGTTAAGAAATTCATTGAGCAAAAAGACATCATCAAACACAGATATCAGTTTACAGAGGTTTCCGCCTGCTGCCAACTCTGGGGCATATTGAGCATTCAAATAAGGCTAGTAAGTGATTAGACAAAGTACAATAAGGGCTGGGTGTTGTGGCCCAGGCCACACTCTGGAGGCTGAGGCAGAAAGAATGCTGTGAGTTTGGGTCCGGCCCGGGCTACAGAGCAAGACCCTGTCTCAAAAAACCAAATTAAATAAATAAAAATAATGATAGTATGGGATTACAACCCATTGAATAGGAGAATACATGAATTTACATAAGTATAAATAAAGACAGAAGGGGCAAAAGCCTTCTCTACTACAAAAAGTCAACTAACATGCATAAGGGTGGGTGAAACTAGAAAATCATTCCAGCCAAGTCATCAGTGGACACAGAAACAGTGCCCTTGAGGAGGATAGGACAGGGCATTCACCCAGTCTCGCGGCATCTCCCCATGAGACACTCAATGTAGAAAGGGAAAAATACTAATTTTATAGGGAGAAATCTGGCAGACATCGCCTTAACCCAGTGATGAGATTTAACATCACCAGCAATGGAAAAACTGCATCCTGCACTTTCTTGATGTTATCTTCCAAGGAGACAGCACCAGGAAACTAGTGATGAAGCTGTGTGAGACACAACCACACCGAGACCAGCTGTGGCAGAATTAGCCTGTCATCTCCAAAGTGCCAGCATTAGGAGACTCAGAGAAGTGCCGCTCCAGACTAAAGGACACTAAAGATGTGTTGCAACCTCCCAGCACCCTGGGAGGCTGAAGCAGGAGGATTGCAAGTTTGAGCCCAGACTGGGTAACTTAGGGGCTTAGCAAGATCCTGTCTCAAAATTTAAGAATTTTAAAAGGGTTGGGATGTATGTAGCTCAGTGAAGGTCCTGGATTCAATTCCCAAAACTGAAAGAGGGAGGGAGGGAGGCATAACAACCAAATATAACACATGATACAGGATTTTCTTTAGCTCCAAAGGATATTACTGAGAAAAATGGTGAGGGCTGGAGATTTAGCTCAGTGGTGCCACCACCTACCTTGCAAGTGCAAGGTCCTGAGTTAGATCCCCGGTACCAAAAAAAAAAAAAAAAAAAAAAAAAAAGACAGATGGTGAAATCTGTAGATTGGATAAGGGTAATGATCATAGTTAATTTGCTGATTTTAGTTATTTTTCAGAGGCAGTGTTTCTATATAGGAGAATGTTCTTGGTGGTTTTTAAAAAATATACACACTGAAATATTTAGGAGCAAAACTCTCAAGTGTCCTGGGGCCTAGGGTGGGTGTGTTTTCAGAGTGAGGCAGGGCAAATCTAAAAGGCTTTTAGGGAATTGGGGTGAAGGGTATGAAGGACTTCTTTGCACTGTTCATGTAACTTTTCTGTATAAATATGTACTTACGTCAAAATAAGAAGTTAAAAGAAGCTAGTTGTGGTGGCACATGCCTGTAATCCCAGCTACTGACAAGAGGGTCACAAGTTTGAGGCCAGCTGGAGCCCCTATCACAAGGTAAACACTTTTTAAAGGCCTGGGAATGTAGCTCAATGGTAGTGCACTTGCCTGGCAGGCAATGAATCTGGGTTCAACCCCCAGGACTGCAGGAAAAATGAAATGATCAGAGGGTGACACAAGGAAAGTGAACAGACAAGACCCAGTTGGGAGAAGATGTTTGTAAGTCATAACCAGAAACGATAACCATCTAGCACAGGTACAGCATTCTCCTAAATGCTCTTTGTTTTGTTTGAGACGGGGTCTTGCTATTTCAACCAGCCTAGGCTTGAACTCACTATACAGCCCAGGCTGGCCTCAAACTCCCAGCAGCCCTCCTGCCTCAGCCTCCCTGAGATTCCAGGACTGTGCTATCATGCCCATGCGGCCAAATAAAGACATTTCAAATCAAGTACTACACACACACACACACACACACACACACTATTGGTGAGGAAGTGTAGTGACAGCGGTGCTACTCTGCGCGGGTGGGGCTGGAGATGGCGCCCCCTGGTGTTACCTGGCCAGACTGCGGCCCAGGTGTGTCCAGAAAGAGTGAGCAAAGTCACCAAACAGGAAACCAGCTCTTCCTCCGCCACCCGCCTGGGTCTCTCCTGGATCAGTCAGGTGCGAAAAGGAAGGGGATTGCCTGAAACACCAGTTGGGCTGGAGGGAAGGCCAGGGGAGGGCGAGGAAAGAGGGGAGGGAGCTCTCCTGGTCTCAGACTTGAGGAGATCGCTAGGTAGTCCGCCTGGGTTCAGAGTTCAAACCAACCTAAACTGTATACCAAAAAGAGGTGGGGACCCGGCCTATCCAGGTGGCAAAGGGAAGGGCCCTGGGCCCTCCAGGGACCCCGATCCCTGGATACTTTCTCTCCAGAAAGGTTCCAAGACGGAGGTCTGCGGATCAGAGACATTTGAGGGCTCTGCGTGGGATCCGAACCACTCGTCGGCTGCAGGGCTCTTAGCCAGCAGAGGGCGCCACAGCCAAGGAGTCGCTGCTGTCCTAGGAGCCCCTGCCTGCACAAAGACCTGCAGAATGGACATTGTGGTTTTCCGCTGTGGACCAGTCTTAATTCTCTGGCAAAGGGCCCTCTTGTACCAGTGTCTGATACTGGAAAGGGAGCGGAGGAGGGTTTAGTCCTGTCCTACCTCGGACAAACCCCAAGTTCAGGCCATCGGTAGGTAGGACCCCCAGGTTGAAGGCCTTCAGGCCCCCCTACGCCCGCCCTCCAGGACCACTGAATGTGGAGTTTGGGACATCCTGGCCCTTGCATAGATGCGACCAGGCCTCTGCCTGTACGTCGTGGCGCAACTTTGTCTACAATGCTACTTTGGGAACAGCAGGTGTGTCCCCATGGGACCTGTGTGGTCACTGCAACCTTCTCCATCCGGACTTGGCACAGGCCACTTGGGCAAGGGTTCTGAAATCTGTGCCCACCTCCTGACCACCTCATTACTGCAATGGGAAGCTGAGCCACAATGGGGTGTGTTTTTCTTCACAATTCTCCAGACCTTGTGAAAACTTTTTGCTCCAGCCATTTTTGTTTTTTAAAACAGGGTCATACTATGTAGCCCAGGCTGGTCTTGAACTCATGGTGATCCTCCTGCCTCAGCCTCTCAAGTTCTGGGATAACAAGTGTGTGCCACAACACCCAGCATCCAGCCACCTTTTTCAGACAGGTGTGGGAGCTGCGGGGACACAGAAAGAGATGTAGGTGTGGTTTGTCACCCTTGCTCTTCATGTACTAGATGGACGGTCACCTGGAATTGTGGGGTGGGACTACCGCTTGAGCGGGATTTCCTGCCCCCTGTAGCTGGCAGGCTTTTCTCTGGGGCTGGGTGGAGTCCATTCCTGCTCCCAGCCCCTTTCAGATACCATCCCAACCCCAAGCCTCAGGGTAGAGCTGCACAGTGGGTGGGTCTGGGAAAACTGTTTGCTGGAGGCCTGGAACTCAGGCCTCATCAACTGCAGCTCTGCTCCCAGCAGCCCCTGGCCCCTCCTCTGAGGGCATTCACTTTGAACGACAGTAAGCAGGGCTGGAATCCCAGACCTCCAGCTACCAGCCCTATAGCTGCTCTGGACCTGGGTTTCCCATTCCTTGAGGTCCCCTTATCTGCTCCTGGTCAGCGCTTCCTGTGTCTGTGGTGGGCCTTGGCTGCAGCTGCAGTAAAGCCACCACATCCGTGGCTCCCTCTGCTTCAGAGCCCCCACCCATCCACGTTAGCTTCTTTTCTGCTTTACAGGTGAGAAAATGAAACACCAGAGAAATTGACAAAGGCACTGGGGAAGTGGCGGAGGTGGGATTTGAACCTGGGTCTCTGTGACCCTGAAGCTGAGGCAGGGCTCACACAGCTAGCCCTGGGTCCATGATAAGGAATAAGATATTGAGGTATGTTTATAATGCTGTCAGAGTTTGATCATTTGAACTCATAATCTGTAGAGTCCACCTGTCCTACACAAATAAATACATAAATGCCAACTAAACACAACTACGTCCCACTGAGCTCTCAGGACTAACTGCTGCCCCCTGTCCTCACATCTCTGGACAGGGTGCAGACTTAGGGTTTGATACAGAGGTTGCAGGGTCTGGTCCCTCCCCTTCTCCACTGAAGGCCGCATCCTCCGTTCGTTGTGACTTTGTACCAGACATCACAGAGAAGCCCACACAAACCAGCTTGCAGGGCGGATCCACTCGGCTCTTCACAAGCACCTTGTCTCCAGCTCTGTCAGGGTTTCTCGCCCTCGGCACTTTCCCACGTTGGTGGGGTATTCAGTAACATTCCTGGCCTCTACCCACTTGATTCCATCTTCTCTCTGTTACAATGATCAAAGGGTTAGAGGGGCTGGGGATTTAGCTCAGTGGTTTCGCCGCCTGCCTTGCAATCGCAAGGATCCGAGTTCAATCCCTGGTACCAGAACAAAAAAGGCGGGGTTAGAAATGTTTCCAGATACTGACAATAGTCCCGGGACTGGGGGGCAGTCATCCACTGGAAATCACAGCTTCATGCTCTTGAAATATGGGGTGCGCATCCCGTCTTCCTCGACTCACATCCTGCGATGGATCCCAGACAATGACAGACAGTCCTAAGCACCCCTGTGGCCGCAGGGTTGGAGGCCTGGCTCATGGGACCAGCGCAGACTGCTGTGGCCAGGCCAGGCCATGCCCCTGCTGGTCTCCCACCAGACCTTCTGTGTGAAACCCTTGTTCCTCCATCTGGAAGGAGTGTAGGGTCTATGCTCCAATACGTAGGGTCCGTGTTCCACGAGTGTACACACCACACCTACTATTTGTTTTGAGACAGGGTCTCTGATATATTCCAGGCTGGCCTTGAACTCACTATGTAACAGGCTGGCCTCAAACTCACAGTTATCCTCCTGCCTCAGCCTCCCCAGTGCTGGGATGTTAGGCATGCACCTCCACACTGGGTTCTGCTGTATATTTAGGTTGTTTCTAATCTGTCATCATGGTGCATCACGCTTTTGTGGATTTGAACAGGAGATGGGGGCCTCTTCGGTCTATGGAGGACCATGCTGGGCTTGGCGCCCATTCCAATAACTTCCAGCCCTTATTCTCTCACCTCTACCCTTAGCTTTTGGAAGAACCATGAGCTGCTCTGTGCCTCAGTTTCCTCACTGGCTGGCTTCAGGGAAAACTCCTTACAGTTGCTGTCTTCACTGTCTCTGAATCTCCTTTAAGAGAGCAAGAGCCCCTCAGCCCAGGGCTGGTTAGGAAGCAAAGGGCTGATTCTCACTAGCGAAGGAGCCCAGCCAAATGGGAATCTTCAGTGGAAAGGAGGCCCTTGTACTTCCTTCTGAATTGCTTCCCTGGGTCCCCTGTCCCTTCCTGCAGGGAGGAGCCAGGGCAGACTGGCATCAAGGGGCTGCTGACATCATGGCTGAGCGGGACTGGTGGGCCAGGAATGGTCTGATCTTGATTTCTTAAAGTTGGGCATCCAGATCTTTAAAAGTTGGCAACCAATTTTTTTGTTTTATGTTTCTGAGACAGGGTCTTGCTGTGTAGTTCAGCTGGACTCCTGCCCTGCTCAGCCTCCAGAGAGCTGGGACTGAAGGTGTGCAGCACCACACCTGCCTTCCAAATTTTGTTTCCTTTTTAATGCCTGAGCACAGCCTGGGTTTGGATCCTTTCTTGGTCAGCTTGGCCGCGGAACTATCATACTCCATGCCTGGATTCTGGGCAGCTGTTTCTGCCAGACAGTGAGACACACAGTCCTGGGAGAACAGGAGAGTCCTCCTTGTGGCACAGGCGGTGCCACAGGTGTGACATGAAGGGTTACCCAGATGTCCTGGCCCAGGCTCGGGACGCCCGTGTCCCTGCTAGGCCCTGGTCTGTTGCCCAAACTTCTTGGCCAATGGCATTTTGCAACATTGGCTAACCTTGATCTCTGGCTGAGGAAAGCAGCAGCTCTGTTTCAGGAAGCCACCAGTCCCTGTGTGGCCAGCAACCCTTGGGCAAGGTAGGCTGAGAAGGGTCTAAAAGGGGCTGGAGTGCGATGGGTCGGACAGGCACGATGGTGGGGGCCTGGAAGGTACTCGTGTTGGTGCTGTGCTTGGCAGGGGTGTCCTGTGCACACCGGCGCCGGCTGCGGCTGCGATATGACGATGTTGTCGCCAAGGCCTTGAAGGTCTACAATGAAGGGCAGCAGGGGAGGCCCCTCTTCCGCCTGGTGGAAGCCATCCCGCCTCCTAGGCTGGTGAGTGTCTGCAGCTCAGGCTCAGGAGCAGGCAGCGGGGGAGCTGGTGCTGCCAGCCTTGCCCCTGTGAGGGTGTTGGGCAGGAGAGAGCCTGGCACAGGCACAAAGTGCTTGGTAACAACAGTGTTAGGTGTGGTGGTGCACACCTGTTATCCCAGGACTTGGGAGGCTGAGGCAGGAGGAGCATCATGAGTTGGAGGCCAGCATGGGCTACAGAGTGAGACTCTCTCAAAACAAAACAAAGAAGTTTTTTTCCCAGGCCAAGGTTTTGCCTCACTGGTTTCACTGCCTGCCTTGCAAGCACAAGGTCCTGTTTGACCTCTGGCACAAAAAAAAAAAAAAAAAAAAAAAAAAAAAAAAAAAAAAAAAAAAATTTTTTCCACTTCATGAAAAACAGGATTGTAATCTCATCCTGGGACTGCCTTGGGAGTCAAAAACGGGGCTTCGTCCATTTTGGCCTTGGGAATCCAGCCTCAGCTGGCCTTGGGCTTGAGGGACGATGCTGGGGTCAGGCACTGGCCTGGTCTCCCGGCCCCCGCATTTCTCTCCTGGCAGCAGAGAGCTCTGGCAGGGGGTCCGCTGTTTACGGCTGTGGAGGGGCAGAGGCAGGAAGGCTTCTTTCTGGAGACTGAGCACCTCCGGTGGGCAGAGGCGGGTTAAGGAGCCCTGGCCTAGCGGGCTGAGTGCCTGCTGACAGGACCAGGCAGCTCCCTGGTGTGTCTGTGAAAGGGAGGTGGTCACGGGCTTTCATCTGTTTCTCTAGAACTCCACCACCAGGCTCCCGCTCAACTTCAGGATCAGAGAGACAGTGTGTATCTCCACCCCGGAGAGACAGCGGCAGCCGCAGAACTGCGCCTTCCGGGATCGGGGGGTGAGTTACCCCAGCTCCCCACCGCAGCCTCCACTCCCATCACTGGGCTTGACGGGGAAAGCCTTTTGCAAAATCAGATTTCCCTCACTGCTCTGTCTTTCTATACATTACCCTAAATCTTTATTATAAAAGTGATACCCTTTAACAATTAGTTTATGAAAATATATAAAGAAACCTGGAGAGACTCTGACAGCTCAGGCCACTCAAAACCTGCAGCTGTCTTTCTTGTAAAGAAAACTAAAACTAAAACAGTGTGACTGTGATCCACCTGGAATCACTGTTTTTAAAAAATAAAATCAGGGCCGGGGATTTAGCTCAGTGGTTCTGCCACCTGCCTTTCAAGTGCAAGGTCCTGAGTTTAGTCCATGGGACCAAAAAAGAAAAACAAACAAAAAAAAAAATCAGTGAGCACAGCGGCCCGTGCCAGTAATCCCAGCTATCTGGGAGGCTGAGGCAGATTGAAAGTTCAAGCCAGCCTCGGTAAGTTAGCCAGACCTCATCTTTTATAAAAAGAAAAAGCTACTGTGAGCTCAATACCCAGCAAGTCCGAGGCTCTGGGTTTCCATCCCAGCATGGAAAACAAAACAGAATAAAAAACTTAAAGAACAACAAATCAAAAGGGCTAACAGTGTAGCTCAGTGCCCTGGGTTCAATCCCCAGGCTCCCCCCATCCCAGATAAGAAAACCTGGAGTCTGAGGCTGGGCTGGGATGCGGGTGGCTGCCGCCAGCTCCTGTCCCTCTCCGGTCCCTCTCCATGCAGGAGGAGCGCGTCTGCACCGGCCAGTTCTCCAGGCTGCGGAGGCTTGTAAGCCTGACAGTCAGCTGCGATAGGGACTGTGGGGACCGGATGGAGGTGAGCCCTGGTCCCTTTCCATGCCTCACCTGCAGGGCACCTGGTGGGAAGTGGGAGGCGGTCAGGAGGGACGGTGGCCCTGGAGCGGTGGCGGACCTGACTACCCACGTCACCCTACAGGACCCGAGGGCGAGACCCCCCGCCGAGCCAGCGGAGCCAACTGAGGCTGGGGAGGCCACTGAGGCTGGGGAGGTTGCGGAGGTCGCCAAGTTCACTGCGCCAGCAGAGGCTGCTGAAGCCAGTGAAGGTGATGAAGACACAGAGCCCAAGGCCGAGGCGGAGGTGCCTCCCGCTGCCGGGTACCTGTACGAGAAGGCCAAGTATGACATCATCTCCAACATCCTGAGCAACTTCTAGGGCAGGAAGGGTGAGAAGCAGTCCCGACCGGCCCGCAGCACCTCCTGTCCTGCACCGCCCCAGCAACCCCAAACTCAAGCCCACCTTGGCACACCTGCTCCCTCTGCCTGGCCTGCCTGCCTCTCCAGGGTCTGGAAATCCTGCTTCTCCCTTGAGACACAGAGGGGAAGCCCCCTCCTCTCCCCAGCAGAGGCACCTTCCTGTCCTCACACCCTGGCGTTGCTGCTGTGTCCCCAGCCAGATGGCACTGCGTCCGCTCGCAGTGGGCCAGCTGCAGCCGTGCCCTGGGAGAGCAGTTCCTCTTGGGCAAGACCCTGAGCACCTTTGCTTTCTGCCTAGTCACTGTGACGGCTGTGTGCAGGACCTCTTGACACCTACAGGAAGGTTCAATAAAACCTTTCGGAAGCAAATGTCCAAGTGTGTGAATTCAGCACTAGAGGCCCCCAGCAGCTGAACGCAGGACGAGGAGACACAGGAACGAGGCAGAGCCAGTGGGGGTCAGGGAGACCCGGTGATCAGGACAGGAACTGCAGAAGGGAGCCAAGGACAGGGTGGGGAGCCCAAGGTGGCGCATGGCCTGTCAGCCTCCTCAACTGCCTTTAGTTCTATTATGCCCCCGACTTTACCACGCTGAACTCCGCCCTGGGAATCGCAGTGCCTCCAGTCCCCTCCCCGTGGGCGTCCAAAGCAGGTCCCACACCAGGTCCCATCCTGCAGCCCACCCACGTCAGCCTGGCGACTTCATCTACCCCGAAACCTGAGTGCCATCCTCCGCTCCTCACCCTCTTCGTATCCCGTTAGGCCCCCAGCAAAGCTCTGTTCCAGGTCTCTGGTGCATCCTCCTGCCTGAGGCCACACCCAGCACTTGCAAAGGTAGCTGCTTGGGCCGGAAGGGCTGGGCTGGGGAAATAACCAAGTGCTATGGCACAGAGCCTCTCGAGATGTGGACTCTTCAGTCCTGGCGTTGGGGAGGAAGGTTCTCTGTCCATGCCTAGAACAGCGTCACTATCTGAGTGCCACTTCCCGCAGTCTCTTAGCTCTGCAGGCTGCAAGCACCATCTATGGCTTTTGGTGAGAAAGCCAAGTGTCAAGGAAGTTGGTTCAACTTCCTATGGTTCAAACTCTAGCCCCCTTTCCACCCAAGTCCTGGGGAGCACCAGTGCTGGGTGAGAGGAAGGAAAGGGGTCATCCAGGGATGAGCAGAATGAATGGAGACCCTCAGACCTCCTTCCCAAGGCAGGAAATGATGGTCAGGCACAAGAGGCCACTTCCTGCCTTCCCTGGGCTTCAGCCCCACAGGATGTGACTGAATCTTATCCAGGACCTGCATCTAGACCCTGTTGCTGGAGCTGCTGCTGCTGCTTCTGGTCCAGGGACCACGCTCTTGAGTAGCAAGGCTTTAATAGCCATGAAATTCTAGCCAGGTGTAGTGGCACACTCAGGAGGCTGAGGCAGGAGGATCACCTGGGCAACATAGCAACTTAGTGAGACTGAGACCCTATCTCAAAATAAAAAGTAAATAAAGGGCTGGGGATGCAGCCCAGAACAAAGGCCCTGGGTTCACTCTTCAGTGCTGGAACAGAAAGAAAAAATAGAGCTTTGGCAGGTGTGGGGGAAACAGAATTTTTCAAATATGGGCTACATGCAGACATGCACAGGTAGAAGGTTTGTGTGAGGGCAGTGAGACACGAGGTTGACAAGGGTCACTGTGAAGTGCTGCTGACACGGGCAGTAGAACAAGCAGGAAATCTAGCAAAAGAGAAGTAAAATGGAATGGGGTTTGCTTTAGCAAAACCTGGCCAGGAGGCAGAGTCTGGCGTGTACTAAAGTGTACATCGTGGGGAACGCACCAGAGGGCATATGTGTAACGGAACTGAAAATGGCAAAACAGCAAGAACCTCAAAGACCCTGAAACATCAAGAAATGCGTTTGTGTCAAATGACAAAAGAGGACCCTGAGGTGCACTGTGCGGAGATCCGGGGTCAGAGGCAGGTCTGCTTCCCAGCCTGGCCCGTCTACCCTCCACGAGGCCACAAAAGGCCCCTCACTGGGGAAAGGGGACAGCAGACTCAGGGACCCAGGGAAGAATCCCCTGCTGCTTTGGGGGCTGTAGCGGACACACACCAGCCTGCACGCGTGCTGCACACGCACCTGTGAAACGGTCACGCAGCCCCCACGCCACCAGCCTCCTCCTGCCCTCAGTCGCCCTGCCGTCTGCAGGCGCTCAGCTCTGCTCTGGCCACTGCAGCTGCCCTCTCTGGGCTCACCCGGCAGGTACTTCTCACGTTCCCCTTTCACCCAGCATTGCTCATTTGGAGATTCATCCACGTGGTTATTTATTCCTCTTATTGCTGAGAATGGATGTATCACAATTGTTACCTTTTTGTCTGCTTTTGCTTTTCTTTTCTTTTTTTTTTTTTGGTACCAGGGATTGAACTCGGGTCCTTGCGCTTGCAAGGCAGGCCACCGAACCGCACAGCTAAATCCCCGGCCCCTGCTTTTGCTTTTCTTTTCTTTTTTTTTTTTGGTACCAGGGATTGAACTCGGGTCCTTGCGCTTGCAAGGCAGGCCACCGAACCGCACAGCTAAATCCCCGGCCCCTGCTTTTGCTTTTCTTTTTGGCACTCACTGAGTGAGCCTGACTAGCTCTCCTATCTCAGTTTTTGCCTATGGAAGGTGGGGCCATCCCTTTTTCACTGAGTTTCTTGGTACTTTTTAAAGTACACAGTACAGTCACACCCATCATTGGGATCTCGTACCTTTACGTGACAGACCTTGGTTCTCATTTTCTCCCCATACTCCTGCTCTCCCCCATCCACCCTCCCCTATTTACAGACTGCTTCCATTTTTTCCTTTTCTCACATTTTTTCTTTTCTCTTATTGCCTTTCCCCTACCCTTCCCACTTCCCCTACACCTTCAGCCCTTTTCTTCCTATTTCACATGGTCAGTTATACGATTTGAATCTTATTTACACTTTTAGTTTTTCACACCAGAGAAACTCTTCGGTACTTACACACTTACACATTTTTCACTTAAGAGTATGGCCTCAACATGCATCCATTTTCCTATGAATGACCTACTCTCTTTAACCAGGCTGCAGGAAGGACCTGATAAGACAAATCCTCCATAAAGAATCAAGGAAAGCCTAAAGCCAAGCCTGTGGCTCTCACACCCACAAGGATCTGGGGAGGGACGGACCTAGGAGTCCTTCAGTGGTCTAAAGGACTTCTAGCAACTGTATGTCCATCAACAGATGAATGGATAAAGAAAACGAAGTTACACACAAGGGAGTACTACTCTGCCATCAAGGATTATGTGAGTTATTCGTAGGGAAATGGATGCTCCCCGAGATCACAGTGTTAAGTGAAATGAACCAGACACACAAGATTAAATATTGCATGGTTTCTAATGAGAAACCAAAAGTATAAATAAGTTAAAGAGCAGAATAAAAGATAGGTAATAGGAAAGCAGGAAATAGAGCTTTCTCAAAGGGGAAGGAGACCAAGATGGCGGGGGGATGTAAAAAGAATTAAGATGTGTTATGTTGCCAGGGATTTAGCTCAGTGTTCTGTCGCCTGCCTCGTGAGCACAAGGACCTGAGTTCAATATCAGTAAGAAAAGAAAAAAAAAAAAGATGTGTTATGCGCACGTCCCACATGATGCCCCCACGATGAAATGGAATGTTACCTACAGCAAACACAGACTAATTAAACAAAACAAAACAAAACGACTTCCAACAACTTCCAAGGTACCAGGCAGGGACCTTATTTTTTGGTACCGGGGGTCGAACTCGGGACCTTGTGTTTGTGAGGCAGGCGGTGGAACAACTGAGCTACATCCCTGACCTACTTCCAATGTACCAAAGTTAAAGCACAACTGGCCTGGAGCACGAGAGGTGGAGGGGTCGGTTTCAGGAGCCCCGGGGACTCTGGAGCCTGGCATTGCGGAGGGATGCACAGAGCTGGGGACCTGAGATCAGCAGGAGTGTACAAGGGGATGGTTGTGCAGCAAAACGTGCAAACCACGTCTGTGTGTCTGGTCACCAGGATGTTTATAAAATATGCACATCTTCCCAAGAGAAAATGGCTTTTAATACATGACATCCAGCTTTCCCCTATTTTCACAGCAACATTCCTCCCTGTCACGTATGTTTGTATATATGAATCTATCTATGGCAGTACTGGGGATTGAATCCAGGGCCTCTGCACTCAGCCACATCCCCAGCCCCTTTAAAATTTTGACACAGGGTCTAAGTTGCTAAATTGCCCAGGCTGGGTTCAAACATGAGATCCTCCTACCTCGGTTTCCCAGAGTGCAGGGATTACAGGTATACATCACCACGCCTGGCCTGCCCAATATATTTTCACACTGAATTGCAGTAAAAATGATTTGCTTCTAATTAAAAAAAAAAAATCAGGAAGGGGCAAAATCCATTAGGAGTGTTTTATTTACTTCTCTTTGGTTTCTTAAAACAAATGACATGCGTTCTATAAATAAAAGGTTTTCTGTGAGACAGTAAGTAGGGAGGGGTTCCTACTTGGTCACATCTTGTGGCTGAGCCAAGAGGCTGGTCGTCAGGGCCCAGCTGGCCATGATCTCGGGTGTCATCCAAGGAGGTGAAATGACAAGGACAGCAAACACAGGCGTCCTCTGCTCAGGCTGCTCCTCGAGGCCACAGCGCACAGTGTCCCTGGATGCCGTGTCACCCAACACTGCACACAGCTGTCCAGGAACCGGCTGGGATGTCTTTGAAAATGAGGTTCAAGAAACTGCTCAGAGCCCGGATCAAAGAATGGGCTTGACCTTCCTCAGAAACGCTGGCCTTGGGTGCAGTGTGGCCTCAGGTCCAGCGGGAGTGGACCCAGGAAGGCCACCTTGGGGGTGGCAAGACACGGGAAAGGGATTCACCGGCCCCAGTGGTGCGAGGGCCAGTGTCTCTGTGGATGAGCACCTTCGCGAGCCAGGTCCCAGTGCTGCCTCAGCCGAGAAGGGGTCCTCCTGAGAGGAAGCGCGGCTAACTCCTGTAGGCAGGAAACAGATCCTCCTCCCCTCCAGTCCACCTGCAGTAGTGCAGGCAAACAGGGGAGTCGGCTGAAACTCTTGCAGCTCTCATGTTGCTCAGTCTTGAAATAAACACATCATTTTCAAGTGCTTATAAGAAGCCCAGCTCCTAAGCTGCAAGCGACAAAGGTCCTTGCCTCATGGCGATGGCGCACACTGGTGAGCCTGGGGTTGGGGAGGGGGCGGTGCCCAGGTTCCAAACTGTGCCTTTCTGAACAGGCCTGAGTCACTCCAGGCAGGCAGTAAAGCACAGGAAACCAAGCAGGTGCTGAGTGGGACCAAAGGCCTGGTCTTGAGCAAAAGGAATTGGGTTCTCTTTGAGACCCTTACTAGAAGAATTTATAAAAGCAGATTTTGGCAGCGGCAGTTGAAGGACAGGTCCACTGCCCAGTGCACAGATAATAGCAAATGTCCTCCTTTCTGGGTCCTGAGGTAACACGAAGGTCCCATCTGGGGAGGAGGAAGGAGGGTGGAGTCTCTTCATGAGATCATTTGCCAAGATCAGAGGAAAAAATGATAAAATCCATTCTTTGCAGCAGCAAAGGATTCTTTTAGCCTTAAATTCTTCAGACCCTAAAGCCAGATCTGCTTGGAAGTAAAGGTCCACCTTGCTGGTCCGGCGGTGAAGGGCTGGGGGGACGTCAGACCCCTGGCATTGGCGAGTGGATGGTGGGTCAGTGGGTTGCAGGGCTGGCGAGGCCAGGCTGGTGGGAGGAACCCTGGCTGGGTTCTGGAGGCACACATGGGCACTGTGCCCAAGAGCGTCCCAATGAGCAGGATCCGGGAATGGCGGACGGGCAAGAGCGAATCTTTCCTGCTGGTCCCAAAAGGAAGGAATGGAAGCAGGAGCGGGGGCTGAGTGATGGGAGGTAATCACGGGGCATCTGGAGCCCCAGCAACAGCTGGGAGCTCCACCTCAGAGTGGCAGGAACTCAGCTGCTACGGAGATGAGCCGTGAGCACCTGCTGCAGGACCAGCCACAGGGTCCCGATTCTAGGAGCGCAGGGCTCCAGCTGCTAGAGAGGCTTGGGACCCTGGGCTCCGGACGTGAGAGCGGACAGTGCCATTCTCGTGTTTGATGGCTTTTTCACTTAAACGTGTTATTTATTCGCCTTTAGTGTCCTTTGTATTTTCTGCCTGTAAAAAAAACTCACTTAAAAAAAGTATTTTTCTTTCCAGTTTCTTTCAAGTGTTTTATGCCTTCAGGTTCTTTCAAGTATCTTCTTTTCCCTTCCATTTCTCCCGGACAAGATGGAAAGACCTTACTGAAATCCCAACATTAGACAAGGGGAAGACCAGGATCCTCCCAGCTCACCCGAGGCAAGGTCACAACCCTCTGTGCCCCACAGTGAAAGCCAGTGCTGCCGCCGTGCAGCTGTGTCAGCACAGGCAGGAAGAACACTTGGAGCGCATGCCTCCCCTCCAGCTGCACCCCACGATTTCCCACATGCTGGGCCCCCATGCCCTCCCCATGGCGGAGGGGCCACAGATGGGCGGCTTCTGACGCTGCGGAAGGCAGGAGCTGGGCCGGGCTGGAGCCCTCCTTCATACGGTTCCCTGTCACCGGCCGTGTCCCTGTCCCTGCGGGCTTCTGTCCCAGGCTGTGCACCTTGAGGACCTCGGGTCACAAAGGCAACACAGGGAGGAGGACGAGAGCACCTGGAGAAGCCGAACCTCCCGCGAGCTCGCATTTCACCCTGTCTTCCGGTCCCTCACCTCTCCCTGAAGGGCTCAGCCTCAGGAAGCAGAGGCGCCTAGGTTTGTACCAGATCCCTACCCCGCTGTGCCCCACCCTTGGCCTTAGATGGTGAGGAGGGGGACGCAGCCCACGCCGACCCCTCCCTCGTGGCACACCATGGGGGCCATGAATGTCCAGCAGTCCGTCTCGGGGTCGTACATCTCCACGGAGCTCAGGTTCGACTGTCCATCGTAGCCTCCCACTGCGTAGAGCCGCCCGCAGCTGGCTACAAGGGAGACCCGGCTGCGGCGCGTGTGCATGGGGACGAAGAAGCACCACTGGTCCGCCGTGGAGCTGTACACCTCAGCGATGCTCAGGAAGCCGGAGCCGTCATAGCCCCCGCACACGAACATCTTGCTGCCCAGGGAGGCGGCCCCGTGGCGGCAGCGCTTGTTGAGCAGGCCGGCGGCCGGGTGCCAGCTGGCTGTGTGGTGGTTGTAGTGCTCCACCTGCAGCGGGAGAGGCGTGGGCGTGGCTGTCAGAGCCGCAGGCGCCAGGCCTGGCAGCTAGGGCTGCGGGGCTCCTCTGAGCCCAAGGTGACCCAGGCCAAAGAGTGCTGCCCGGGAACGGCAAGGCTGGGCTGACAGCGCCATCTCCTGGGACTGCCCACAGCGCTTGCCCCACAGCGCCAACTATGGTACCGCTACTACACGTCTCCTGAACAAATGAAATGCAAAAAAAGAATCTAAAAATGCAATTTCAGCGGGGTGTGGAGGCGCACGTCTGTGATCCTAGCACTTGGGAGGCTGAGAAAGGAGATCACTGTGAGTTGAAGGCCAGCCTGAACTACATGGGAGGATCCTATCCCCAAAACAACAAAAACAAGGGCTGGGGATTTAGCTCAGTGGTTCTACTGCCTGCCTCACAAGCTCAAGGTCCCAAGTTCCGATCCCCAGTACCAAAAACAAAAACAAAAACCGCCAAACTATTCAACAAACCAAATGCAATTTCCAAAATAGTGTCTAGAAGGACAACTGTGTGGAAATTCGCTCTCGAGCTTGCGGAGGGCAGAGGTTTCAGGAGAGCTGAGTGGGGTGCGGGCAGGAGTGATGGCCCTGCCTCTTCCACAGGAATTTCAGAGGACAGTGGACAGCCTGCCCCTATTGGGATGGCACTGCACCCAGCATGAGGCAGGGCCAAAGTGTTTCCAAAACAACCCTGAGGTGGGAGGAGGAGGCGCCTTTCCCCTGGACTCACACTGCTGAAGATCTGCAGGCCGTCGTGGCCACCGGACACATAGATCCTGCCCTCGAAGACCGTGACGCCAGCAGCACTGCGGTTCGAGCTCATCGGAGTCACCACGGTCCACCTTCAGGAAAGTGACACGGGGGGCACACGTGACAGTCGGTTGCTGTGCTCCAGACAGCAGGGCAGGCCCGGGGAGCTGAGCGCCCGCCTCTTCCCCTCTCCCACCACAGCCCGTCTTCTCTGCACGTCTCGTGGGCACCCAGAGCCGACCCTTTCAAACACGTCTGCCCTGCCTGCGCTGGCTGGTCTTCTTACCGGACCTCCACCTCCAAAGCTGCCCCTCGGCTTCTCCCTCATACTCGACACTCTTCCGGTCCCCAAGGCCCGGGGGCCTTGCCCTGGACCCCGTGCCCCCCCTTGAGCGGTCCCGCTGTCAGACTGCTCCTCACCCCACGGTCCTCAGCGTCTCCTGTACTCTGCAGCACTCTGCTGCTCCTGCCGCTTGTGCCCCAGCCCACCAGACCGCAGTGCTGTCCTCCCTCACACAAGCCCCTCCCGGTCCCTCTACGATGGGTCTCACCTTGGAGGTCAGCCTTGCCACCGTGCCCCTGCGCCTCAGCCCAGAAAGAGGAGGGACTCCTCACCAAGGCCAGGAACCCAGGGCCAGGCCACCGGGACGGGCGACACCAGTCACCATGGCCCCATCACACGGGTGTTACCTGATGTTCTCACACCTAGCATCCCACGCAGGGTAATGACCCAGCGCTGGCTGAAAAGAACCGTGAGGAGCCCGTTTGACTTCATTTCTTAGATTGTTACATAAGACGAGGGTCAAATGGTAAAATGAGAAATTCAGGCTCACCTTACCAGGGTTTTCCCCAAACAGTGTTGTACAAAAATCGCCCCGCATGAGGGTGATAGGTGTTATTTGAAACACAAGGCTAAGCAGGGTTCTCTACAGCAGAGCCTCCCTGAGCCTCTGCAAGGTTAGCAGGACTGAGAGGAGATGCGGACACGGTGGGACAGACATTGACATTCCCTAGTTTGTCTTTCTCCAAATCACACCCTACCAGCTTGGGAACATGATGTTCATCTACTTCTTTCCCCACTTTGCCTGCATTTCCATCCAAATGGGCTGATTCATTTAACAGGTACAGTTCATTAAATAAATATTTCCAACTTCCTATGTAAACTTTTTTTGTTGTTGTTCTTTTTGTATTTTGTTTTTTGAGATAGGGTCTCACTATGTAGCCTAGGCCAGTCTAAACTCATGGTGACCCTCCTGCCTCAGCCTCCTAAATTCTGCGATCATAGGCGTGCACCACTCCTGGCACAGACATTTGTTTTTAAAATGTATTTAATCATTCATTCATTTAACCCAAGGTTAATAAATAACTGTTGCATATATGCAAAGTACTACATAAAGCAGGACAGTAAGACACTTTACCCCCACTAAAACCTGCAGCTGTAAGCTGGCTGTGCTCAGTATGGCTTGGCCCGGAAGCGGAGTCTTACTTGTCAGTGTCGGGCGAGTATGTCTCCACGGAGTTGAGGGAAGAGTTGCCGTCATAGCCCCCACAGACATAGATCTGCCCGTCTAGCACGACGGTCCCCATGGCACTGAAACAGACAGAGCTGTCAGCCCAGATGGCCTTTCTTTCATAAGAAACCAACTGCTCAACTGGCTGCTTCCAGAACAGACTAAAACCTCAGGATCGTGACTCGGCAACACACAATGTGAGGCGAGGAAGCCACTCTGCGGTTCTCCCTTCCCACCGCCTACTCCAGGTCTAGTTTGCGCCTCCCTTGAACCCCTCAGCAGGACACCCTCTCTCTCCCGACCCCGCTCCCTGAGTGGCTGCTTTGTAATGGCACCGTCACACCACCGCTCACTCTGGCCCTTCAGCAGCCGCTCACAGGGACCCAGAGAGCAAGCTGAGTGCCACCATAGGCACCCACGCTCCGGCCCTGTGGGGATCTCCTAGAAGACCTCACTCCGTCCACGTAACCTCATCAGTGACATCTGTGGGGCCCTCCCTTCGGTTCACTCTGAGGGTTAGCGGATGTGTTCTCACGGCTTGCACCACTGAGCTAAATCCCCAGCCTCTTTCTACTTTTTGTTTTGTTTGTTTTTTTTTTGGTACTAGGGACTGAACTCGGGTCCTTGCACTTGCAAGGCAGGCCACCGAACTCTTTCTACTTTTTATTAGGAGACAGTGTCACTAAGTCACTAAGTTGCCCAGGCTGGACTTGAAAGCCACCTTGCATTTCCTTTTACCACTAGTAAAGTTAAATCCTGCTTATTCTTCAGGTTTCTACTTTAATCCCCCCTCCCCTCTGAAATCTTCCAGATGTTCCAGCCCAGTTTCTCTCCCTCTTGGCTCTTCTGTGACACACATCTGGCACGTACATCACAGTGTAGCTCCCACATGCCCAGATCTCGTCTCCCCACAGTGCTAAAGAACAAGGCAGCTTTTGGTGTTCAGACCGATCCCAGCAGTGGCTGGCCTGGCTGCGGGACGCTCTGCTTTTCTATTCCCTGCTTGCCAAGCATGGCTCTCCCGGTGCTGTTTGTGTGTGCCCAGCCTGCACGTGGTTCCCGAATACCTTCTCTTGCTGTTCATGCTGCCCACACGGGTCCACGAGTCCGTCTCCGGGTTGTAGGCCTCCACTGTGCTCAGCCGCCGCTGGCCATCATAGCCCCCGATGGCATAGAGGAGCCCGTTCACCACGGCCACGCCCACCCGGCTGCGGGCTGTCGTCATGGGATGGCACTTGGTCCAGTGGTTGGCGATGGGGTCAAACACTTCCACCACATTCAGGGAATCACCTGCATAAAAATGTGCTACTCAAATTAAAACAAATGAGACCACTTGTTTAGATCACAGCTAGTGGGTGTGAATTACATGGAACATTTGACTCAATGCTATTAGCTCTTCCCTCAGAACTACTCAGAGCACAAAGGCCCATTAAGGAATTTCATGGCTTCGTGACATCCTTTAAGGGAAGTCAGAAGCAGACAGGAGGCCTTTACCTTTCCAACAGGGTGGTTTCCCCTTACATCAGACACTTCACCTGCCCCACTGCGGAGGCAGGGCTGGAGGGAACACAGGGATCCCCAAGCCAACCTCACTTACTATGGAGGGACCCTAGCCAAGGGGCTTTTGTCCTTATCCTGTTTCATACGGGACATTTATAGCAGAGCTGCCAGGAGGATTAAATAACTAGTACACTTCTAGAATACGCACAGTAAACCACTGTCAGAGAAGCAAGGAGCAACAATGCTAACCCTGCCCTTTTTCACTGGTTTTTATGACAACCGATTAAATGATCCATTTCTCTATTACATGCTCCCTCTACACTTGCTACTCTAACGCTTACCGAACTGAAGACTTAGGACTTTCCTCTCCCAGGTCACGTGGTTAACAAGCAGCAGATCACCCACCTCTCACCAACCTTCCCTTACGAACAAAACTGCCCAGGGCTGCAACCAAGGCTATGGAGGACTGGCCTGAGGGCGTACCTGAAAACCTGACGCAGGACATGGGGAGACCCGGCAGCACACAGGCCGTGAGGCTCGGAAGGCAGACGGCCTCACACAGGACTGGGCTACTGACTGCACCTGTCCCGGCTGAGTAAACTCGACAGCTGGCACAATGTTGGGGAAAGCAGGCAGGAACCCAGGTCGGGTCCCTGCTCTGCCCGAAGCAATGTGTGAACACAGGGAGGTGGCTCTGGCCTGTCTCCTTGGGTGGAAGGCAAAGAGGCGAGGCCTTGAGGATTTCTAAGGCCTCCTTAGCACCCATGTTCAGGTCTAATAGCACAAATGTGTGATGGCTCTCACTGCAGAGCAATGGCATCGAGTGGAGGCGCCAGGGAGGTAGCAGCACGAAGCAGAGGAGCCAGAAGGCCTGCATGGGTTGACTATGCTTCTGTGTCCCAGATGCCCCAGATGAACTGGGTGTGGTGGCACAGCCTGCAATCCCAGTACTAGGAAAGCTGAGGCAGGAGGATCACCACGAGTTTTAGGCCTGAACTACATTGAGACTCTGTTTCAAAACAAACAAGCAAAAGCAAAAAAACAAAACAAAACAAAAAAAAACCCTCAAGGTGCCCCAGACAAGGGGGTTGCAAGATACCTGCTGAATTGAGGCCGCCCACAGCATAGATCAGCCCGGTGATGGACGTGCAGCAGCGAGGCCGAGTTCTGAAGGCCGGGAGGTGCGGCTGCCGCTCAGGCATGAGGTGATAGTCCTTTGCTTGGTCCACCAGGTCCCTGGAAAAATGTGCAGGACTCTAGGACGGGAGGCATCCTCTCCTCTCTGTCCACACCTGCACTTTTCAGCCTGGCTCCTCCACCTACCCCCCACGGAAAACCTGGCAGGAGAAGCCTTCTGGAAGGTCTGATCTCAAAGAACCCAGGTGAAGGCTGGTACAGCTGCTGAGACAGGCTCAAAAGTGGAGGGGTGGGACGAGCAGAGCGCCCTCTGTCGGCTTACGGAGAACAAGCTTCTACTGGGTGGGCGGGGCTGGCATAGGCCCAGCTCGGATCTAGGCTTTCTTGGGCCCAGGGTACTGGGGCCCACACGCTGCAGTCACCACCTCTCCCCTTCCCAGTCCCCGCCATGTCCCTGTCCCAGACCACAGTCCAGGCTGTTTCTCTAAGACCTCTGAAAGCTACAGAGGGGAAAGAAATGTAACTCAGCCTGTTAGATGTTGGGTACACCGAGTTTGTGTTCTCTAAAACCAAAGAATGAATTTTAAGGAACAGAAGTTAAGAGTAGGAAAAATTCATTCGCATCTGGGGCGTGTTCGCGGGAGGACGCGGCGAAGGAGGCGCTCCTGGCAACCGTAGAGTTGCGCAGGTCCTCGGCTTTGGGAAAGGCGTGGGCAGTGCCAGTCATGGGCGCCAGGAGCTCCAGCAGGCAGCGTGGCCAAGTAGGAATAGGCGCCCCTCGGACCCTCCACCAAGGTAGGCACGCTCGGGGCCACCTACTCTGGGGAGGGAGAGGTCCCCCACCCCATATCCATGGCGAAACTAAAGTACGTCCAGCCTGGCTGCAAACTCGGGAGCGTGGACCCCTCTTGTGAGGCTTTTCAGGGTCTCCCGCGCGCTGAGGGGGGACCAGTAGGGGGGCATTGTAGTGCGTCTCCAGGGGAGGCGACTGTGCCATTCGCAGTAGTAAAGCCCGTCCCCGCTGTCTCCCACCCGAGCCATCCGCCCCTGGTGATGAGCTGCGCCAGGCATCGCGGGGCTCCGGGCGCCCCAGACCCAAGGTGCCAAGAGGCGGCGCTGGGGCCGGACCCTGGTTCTCGGTGCCCGATTGCGGGGAGCGCAGAGATGGTGCCCAGGGCTCCTGCCGCAGCGGCTTCTGAATGCAGCTATCCTAGGGTGGAGCTCGCTGCATGCAAGGGAGAACCTGGGCAGACGCTGCTGCGTTTCCAGAAGAGATTGAGAGGTTTCGCCAAGTAGCTTTCGCTCAGTTCCCGCTCCCTGCCGGTGGACTGTGGACGAAGCAGGATAAACAAATACTGGGGGCGGCGTCCTTGGAAATCCTTGGAGGATGAGAAGGCTTCGAAGGGCCTTGCCTCTACTCTTTTCTGTGGAGGTGGGTGGGGCAGAAACTCCGGGCAAGGCTGCATTCATCACCTTTGGGCATCCAGACTGGAGTGCTTCATCTGGGCCGCCCTGTCTTTGTGTTTTAGATCTGTTTGCCAGCTTCTCCGTTCTTTAGAGGGATGTGGGTGACCACACTAAACACAGCCCTTGCGTCAAATTTGAGGATGGGGTAATAAGGACCTTGAAGAGCTGTCTCATTGTAGACATTAACAATGTGATAAAAAAAAAATGAGGTCTAGGTAAATTTCATAGGTCTGTGACCTCGTTGCCTTAAGTCTTCGGGTGGAGAAACTGCTCTTTTGTTTCTGTTTCTGTTTTGTGAGGAGGAGGGCTCACACTGTAGTCAAGCTGGTCTCCAACTCATCCTCCTGCCTTCGCTGGGGTTACTGGCCTCCCTCCATTTCCACACCCAGCGGGGCTGCTCTGAAAGATGGTTCTAACTCACCAGGGCCTGTAAGACCTGTGGTCCTGAGATGTGTGTCTCTGATGTCTGGGGAGTTTTCTAAGGGGGGCCTCAGCTCGGGCCTCAGTGACCTGCACACTTTGGAGATCGAATTCAAATTTTAGTAGGCATCTGTGTGGCATGTTTGATGTCAACCACTGCTAAAATCACAGGTTAAAGTCCAGTGGTGCAAGTAATTTTAAGGTATCATTGCCAAAACCTTACAGTCAGATGACCCCCCCCTCCCTTGGCTTTTATCCTCCTTCAGGTCTTATCTTTCCTTTAAAATATTCCTCACATTTTCTTCCCACCCACCCTCATAATTTACATATAAGATTGTAAAAGATTGACCCAAACTCTTTCCATCCTACTGTCGTCTATCCTAGTCAACTCCCATCTTGACACACCCCAGTGATCTCCTTTAAAATGACTTAAATGCATCCACACTAGCATGGAGCTTGCTGGCAGGCTGCCCCATGATCAATTTGGAGGCTAATCGATACACTTCCATGCATCTTTGGAGCATATGTAGTTTTTCATTTCAACTAGTAAAAATGTATGGCTCAGGTTTAGAAGACCTAAATCTTTGCAGAAAGACTCCAAGATTAAGAGTGAGTTCACCCACATGACCTCCCTACCCCCCACTCCCAATTCCTGGCCTGAGCAAGCTGGGTTGTTGCCTGGGCCCCCAATGCACCCACTGTGCATATCAGTGGGGGCCCTGGCTCTTCTGAATGCTCCATAGGTAAGGGACTGACTCAGTTGTGTTCATAAATTGCATATCCCTTGCTACCTGGCACATAGCAGGCACTCAATAAACACTTATTGATATTGGCTTTCAAAAAAAAAAGAGTAGGAAAAATTGGGGCTCAGGATTTAGCTCAGGGGTTCTGCTACCTGCCTTGCAAAGTCCTGAGTTCGATCCCTAGTACAAAAAAAAGAGTAGAAAAACTTTTTTTGAGAAACAGAGCTCCTGAGAGACGGGAGGGGACCCGCAGGTGGGATGCCAATGAGTCTACTTTTCAAAGGAAGTTGTATAGAGTAAAATCATGAGGTGGGTATAATTGGGTCAAAACTATGATCAACCAGTAAGATTCTAAGCATAGCCACTTAGGTAATATTGCTTCAGTGGGGAAGCAGGTCACGCAGCCAGTGTACATGGCAAGAACAAAGACTTTCTTTAGGCAGGGATGGATGGGGGGGTGGCTCACTCACCAGGTGACTGAAATATCCAGACTTTATTGGACCAGGTGATACTAATTATCCCTTGGGGAGGCACATAGGCACGGTCATTTTGTCTTTATTTTGAGGCCTGGCCTCTAACAGGTGTGCCTCTGGCCACAGCTATATTGTTTCTATTTTTTGCACTGACTCCCTTGAGGCCCAGTCCTGTCTGACTGCCCGCAGCATTTTTATCTAACTTAGCTGTCCATGATACCACCCCTCCTTGCCAACAGCACCTGGGGACTGCTGACCACACTACCTCTGGTTTCTGACCCTCTCCTCACACTGCCTGCACTGAGCCCTGAGTTCCTCCTGAACCAGCTGATCCCAACCAGGAGTAAGAAGAAGGGGCAGGCTGAACATGTGTAAAAACTTTACTGGCAAAGGAGAAAGAATTTTCTTTTTTCTTTTTGTTTTTTTGAGACAGGGTCTTACTATGTAATCCAGGCTGGCCTTGAATTCACTGTGATTCTCCTGCCTCAGCCTCCTGAGTGTTGGGTTTATAGGCGTGCGCCATCAAGGCCACTGGAGAATTTTCACTGTTGTGAGTAGCCAGGCAATCTGAAGGATTTTCTCTGCTGCTTTAACTTGATTGCAATTCTCCTGGGCTGTCACCCCTGGGACAGGGTTGATGCTCTCCTGTGCCATGTTGCCACTGATTTTCTCTGGGGAAGGTTTTGCAGCTGCTAAACTAGTCCTCTCCTTGCTCATCACTGCAGCCATGAAGCCTGTGCTCCTTAGTATTTACTGAAGGGGGCAGGGAGCTCCAGGAAGTCCTGTTCATACCACTCAATCAGCGGCCTGTGTGTGGACAGAACCAGGGCAGGCAGGACGGATGCGTGTCTACCTCAAGCAGCACAGTGGCAAAAATGTTAGAACATCCTCATTAAGGTGGGGAGAACACCCCTTCTGCCTCAGTGCCCACACTGCACCTCTCTCTGCCCTGGTGGTAGACTTGGGCTCCTACCACTTCCTCTCCGGATCTGTGTGCCACTCCCTGGAGCTGCAAGTGAAGCTGGTAGCCGAGTCCACCCCCTAGGCCTTCGGCGGTGTCCCATGTGAGGCCACTGTGCTCACCTGCACTTGTGGCAGCTGCGGATCAGGTCATCCTGCTGTACTCGGTCAGTCAGGAACTGGGGACGGCAGAGAGGCAGGCGGATGATGGACAGCAGCTCGGGCAGGCAGGGACTCCTCCGTTCCCGGTCATATCTGACCCAGGCCAGTGCAGCTTCGAAGACCTGCAGTGACGAAAAGGGAGCTCGGGCAGCAGCTCACCCCACTCGGGAGCTGCTCCCCTGGCCCCTGCCTCAGTTCCTTGCTTGGGCCCAGAAATCTTTCCTCCTTCTGTCTGCCACATACACTGCTTTCTCTCCACTTCCATCTGGTCCTGCCTTTGCAATGCAAGGTTGGGCTGCTGGAACAGCTTTTGGGTTTCCGTTATGATTCCCTGTTGACAGCCATCAGGACACTGTATTCCCCTCTGCATCACAATGAAATACCTGCTTTGCTCCCTTCCAGCTGCTCCCGTCCCAAACCCTCAAAACCCTCCACTTTAGCCAGCTGGGCCTGTTCGGGGTTCCCCGTCACCCTCACCTAGCTGTCCTCTCCCTTCCTCTAAGGCCTGGCTCGAGATCCACATTCTCTACGAAGCCTTCCTTAATGGCTCCAGTCACAAGGATGTCTCCCTGGAAAAGCCTCCGCGCCCTTCACAGCTGCTGCTCCAGGTCACACTAAGTAGCAGAAGAGTGGGGCAGAACCCCTGATTTTGGGATGAGGCTCTTGTCTGTACTGGGTGTCCACACGGCAGGTTCAGGTCCACTTTTCCACTGGTCACTAATACTCAGGGCGAGGACTCTGCTGTCATTAAGAAATTAGCTGAGTGGGGGCTCACACCCCACCGCTCGCCTCCCAGAGCCTAGGCCACCCGCTGAAGCCCCACTTCATGCAGGCCACCACTCGATTCCAAGTATTCTAAGTGGCTTGGCCAACCGAAGGCCAAGAATTCTCAACTGACCAAGGCAGAGACCCGGCAGCGGCAATCTCCGAGGGCCTGCAGGGCCAGGCCACACTTCTCAGCCTGCACTGCCAGGCCTTGCCACGTTCTGCTCCAAGTAACACTCACTCGGCATCCTCTTGAGACGCTGCGCAACACCTCCAAGGCAGCAGAGGGTTCTGTCCAAAGGCTGGTCCTCTGCCCTTCTGCTCTTACACCTGCTCTCATTTTAGCTTTTCTCGACCATGCCAAGATCTGTCTTCTCTGTCCTTAGAGGGCCTGAGGCTGCCCAAACCCCACTCTGCCCGTAGCTTCACCCTCCATGACTAGAACTGGCTTTACTCAGAGCCGTCCCTCCTGCTGTTCTAGCTCAGGAATTGACACCCACTGGTCTCTGACACTGACCCTCACCTCCTTCTCAGAGACCCCTATCTGGCCCTCGTCCTCACCCTCCTGCCAGCAGGGCTCCATGGGCTGTCACGCAGGTGCCCTTAGATCCCATGCCCAGCCCCTAGCGTCCTCACTGAAATGCGCCTGGAAAAGGAGCTCTAAGCTGAGGAGGTCCAGCTCTGTAAGTTCTGCTGGCCCCTGCTCTGGCCCTGCACCAGTGCTGTGGCTGGCAGAGAACATGACAGAGCCGACCAGTTCACTGCGAGTCTGTGGCTCCTGATCTGCTACCCGAGGCCTCTCCATCTCCCCAGCACTGTCCGTTCGCTCCACCCAGAGGCCAGCTCATACCCTCATACCCGCCATGTATCTCCGCTGCTCCTCACTCCTGGCTGAGAAGACAAAACAGCTCAGAGGACAGCAGCAGTAAGAAGCCACCACATTTCTCTCCTGCAGCCCTTGGGCCTGTGCACCCAGCTCTCCCTCCTGCTGCTGGGGTGTGGATGGCTCCTGTCCAGGGTACCCTGCACCCCAACTGTTGCTTCTCCCTTCAGAACACTGCCAGCAACTGTTTGCCCTGTCTCTTACACCACTAATTCTCCCCCCTCTCCTGGGGAAGGCTCACTGGCACTCAAGTATGCTGTACATCCCTCCCCTTAATAAAAAGCCAAACCCCTCACAACGACTTCCTGTTCCCTCCAGCCACTGCCCCAGGCTCTCCTCTTCTTTAGAAAAAACCTCCTTCATGCCGATGTGGCGGGGCACACCTATAATCCCAGCACTTGGAGGCTGAGGCAGGAGGATCTCAGAGAGTTCGAGGCCAGCCTGAACTACAGAGGGAGACACTGCCTCAAAAAAAACCAAAACCAAACCAAAACAAAAAAAACACCCCCTTCAAAAGTTCTCCACACTATTTCCAGTTCATGGCAATATTATTTCTAAAAGGAGAGATCAGAAATAACCCAAACACATAAGAATAAGGGAAGTGGAGATGATAAACAGAATATTTAGGCTCTAAAATATAACAGTTTTCATGAACAACACACAAAATAAAACAAACCCTGCTATACATAATAGCTGCATACACACTGATCTTAACTGTTTAGAAAAAATAGGAAACAGTTGTGGGGAAAACGGCATACCCATCAGTTACCCGCAGACTGTGGCACTGACCTGCTCCTCCGACTTCACGTTCAGCTCCTCCCGGGCCAGGAGCTCGAGCACGCCCTCTGGCGGCAGGGCCAGGAACTCCTCCGACAGCGACACCTCCACAAAGTGCTGGTGGACGAAGCTGCTGGCTGCGTCGTACAGCACAGCGCACATCATCATCTCTGCAAACTGGCGCACACCCAGGCAGTTTTTTGGGTGTAACCTTCAACATAAGGAAAAATTAAAAAAAGGAAAAATCAGAAGAGGGAAGGTTACCTTTGATCATTCTCAGGGTGGTTCTGGGTGGAGTCACTTGTCTCCACTTGGTTGGAAGCTCCCCATGACACCAAGTATATCCAGCTGGACACATCCTGGCATGAAATTGAGATAGTTTATCTGCAGAGCATTTTGCTCCACAGGCCTGGTGCCTGGTGGGTGAGGTGGGAGGCCTGGAAAGTCCTGTGTTGTTGCTGTGAGGCGAGGACAGGCACCCCGGCCACTGCAGCTCCTGGCTGGTGTCCAGGGCAACTCCACTCTCGGCCCCAGGCAGGCACCAGGACTGCAGAGGGAGTCTAAGTCACAGGGAGAGATGACACGTCAGTTTCTGTTTTATTTTTTAGGGGGTGGGGGAATCAAACCCTGGGCCTCATATACAGAAGGCAAGCGCTCTACCACAGAGCTACATCCTCAGCCCGAGGGGTGACTGAGATGATTTCTTCAACATCGGGACCCTTATGCATTTTTCTTTCTCTTAGGAAGAGAGGTTCCATGGACCTCACTGTTCAAGTCTCTGGAACAGCATCAGCAGCTATCATTTAGTCAGCATTAGCGAGTCAAACACCCTGCTGTGTGCTATACTTTCGCAGACATTCTCTTTTTGTTTTGTTTGTAGGACCAGGGATTGAACTCAGGAGCCCTGTACCACTAAACTACATCCTCAGGTGTTTTTATTTTTCATTTTAAGTAGGAGAGAGTCTTACTAAGTTAGCCAGGCTAGCGTTGAACTTGTGATCCTCCTGCCTCAGCCTCTTAGTAGCTGGGATTAGAGGTTATTCTCCAGAATCTTTTCAACAACCCTGCATACTGCTCTCAGGAAATGTGCTCCCAGTCCCTGGTCCAGCAAGTAGGGTGCTGAGCTCACCAAGGAGGAACAGTTCTCTTCAGGGCCAGGGCAATCCTGGCCCTAGGCCCTCCCTGGGCAACCTGAGTGGGTTGCTTGAGTTCTCCCAAATGTCAGCCAGGTCTTTACTTGGAAAAAGATGATAACAGTGACCCACCCCTTGGGGCTGTGGCCAGAGAGGCTGAGGCAGGAGGATCACTGCAGCCCAGGGCTTGAGACTGGCCTGGGAAAACTAGGGAGACCCTGTCTCTAAAGTTTAAAAATGAAAAAAGAAAGACTGTAAGCAGACACACGTAGCATGTGCTTGGTATGAAGTCAGCTCCTGTTTTAATTTCTGTGGTAACTCTTTTCCTAATTCCAGGTGAACCCAGCTACATGGCTCTGACATCTTGGTTACAGCAGCAGACTCTGTGGGGATGGACCTTTCTTACTCTGATTTTGTGAGTGATGATTTGCTGGGGCTTACTTTTCCTGTTACAGTGATTTCCTTCTCTCTTTTTCCCTCAGGGTGACTTAAAGGGTATAGGCAGGGTTACGTACACTGAGCAATACTCACCCATGTCACTGAAAGGACAGAGTATCTCAGGACCTGACTATCATTCTTAACAGCTTGAACTCAAACTTGTTCCACCCACTACTTTTGGAAACTTGATTCTGAAAAGCTGAGGAAACAAGAGTTGGGTGCAGTTCACCAACAGCACAGCCAGTGGGAAACACAGGCCTACGGTCATCTGTCCAGAAGCGCTTTTCTCCTAAGGCACTGAAGGAGAGCGGATGGAGCACTTCACAAATGTAAGCGGCTATGAGAATCAACCTTCCCTGGGTCCTACCACTCAGCCACTCGCCCCACAGAATTCAAGGGTCCAGGACTGGGCGTGGACAGAGTCCAAAGATGAGGGCAAGGATGATCCAGGAGCTGCCAGCATCTCCTTCCAGCTTCTCAGCTCAGGGTGCCTGTGCCGATAGGATGCTGAGCATCGAACACATCTGAACTGAACTGTGCCCCCACATCCAAGAGAGAGCGATGTGGGAAACCTGTTTGGAAGATGCTGCTGGGGACAGAAGAGGCCCACTCTGGAGGGAAGCAGGAACGAAAATAAACCTAACAGGGAAATGGAGACCTACTTTTTCATGAGCTACTGTGCAGTCTTCTTCCTTGTTGATGCAGCTCAACTTTCTCAACAAAGAGGCAGCAGAGGATGCAATGCTTTACTGGACACAGGAAGCTGTGCACTTCCTGTTACAGCCTAGCTCTGAGGCCAGGCGCAGCTCAGTAGGCCCAGGATGCATAAGGCCTTGGGCTCAATCCCTAGCATCATTAAAACAAAACAATCGAGCTCTCAGAGAAAAGTTTCAGGAAAGAACTCTAATACTCAACTAAACTGAGGAGGCCCAGATATCTGGGAAAAGGGCCACAAGACAAAAAATCAGCTGCAGCCTTGGGGAGAAAGCAGGGGTCTAAAGAACCTGCAGGCTGAGGCCACAGCAAATGTGCTGCAAGCCCTTCCCTCCACCACAGCTAGGATGCCATTCCTCGCTGCAGGCAACCAAACCTTCCAACTGCAGAGCTTAGGTGATAGTTCTCAGGGCCATGAGGAAGGGTGGACCTGGAGGGCCCCGTGTCACTCTGTAGCCAGGCCCAGGGACAGAGGCAGGGACAGTAATTACCAGAGAGAAAACAGGAAGCAGGCCACACCTCTGGGGCCTGTGGCAGGGAAAAGAAACAGGAACGAGATACGGGCTTAAGTCTCAGAAGGCGTTCTGCATTGCTGAATGAAAAAATGCCAAGGACAGATTCAGAACACCAGGCTTTCTGTTTAAGCACTTATTCCCAAAATGTTACTGAGGCATGTAAAAGCTGCACTGGTTTAGAATCACCAGTCAGCATCTTTTGGAGCCTGAATCCAGTGACGGTGGTGACCTCAAAGGCCCCTAGGGGGTGCTGTTGCCCCCTCTGTGAAGGTGTGAGGATGGCAGACAGTCCTGGGAGCTCGACTTGGTCAGAAAGCTGTTCCGGTTCTACAGGAACAAAGGGGTGAAGTGGGTCTTGTCTGTGTCCTTGAACCCACAAATGAGTAGGAAAGGACAGTGTGTGCCCCACATGTCCACACAGGCACCGCTGCAGCCTGCCCCAGAAGCATCCTCAGGCAGGCACAGGCCTGGCTCTCACGCTAGTCACTACAAGGCCTCCATCTGCAAAACTGGACACAAGACCTCAAGATGAAGCCATGCACCCTGCACCCAGCGGACAAATGTCCCTGTGTCTGAGGCCCCACTTCCACGGCGGTTACGACCAGCTGCCCACACAGCAGATGCTCACGATGCCCGTCCAGTGCTGTGGGAAGGAAGGGGTCCAGAGAGCAGCTAAGTGTGTGGGACCAGAGGAGTGGTAATGGGAAGGGGAGGCCGGCTCCGAGAGGTGGGGGCTGGGCTCTGAGGGCGGAGCTGAGCCCGAGGGCTGGTCTCAGGCCAGGACCTGGCGACCACAGGATGCTGCTTGGAGGCTGGGCTTCAGAGCACTGCTACCCTGGTTTCTCTCCACCTGCCCTTCTCCTCAGGCCTCTGGTGGTGATGGCCTTCAGCTATGACTAAGAGCTCTGTGTCTTGACAGGGAGGGAGGGAGGCAGGGGGGACCTACTCAACAGGTCATGGAGAACCACAAGGCTCACGGCCACACGCTGGAAATGGGTGGGGGCATCACATAGACCATGCCCTAAAAGGGCAGAGGACTCCAGTGACAGAGGGGGACAGAGAGTTCCGGGGAAGGTCTAACGGAGGGCTGAAGTACGAAAAGTAAGATTAAGAAATCCTAGCAGAAAGGGAGATAGATGGCTAGGGAACAGCTGGAAAGCACGGAATAAATCAGGTTGGTGCTGGCGGGACTGGAGAGGGAAGACAGGAAAAGGGGCTTGTCACCCCAAGAATGACGACAGGCCGGGTAATGTGCTGTGCAAAAGGCTCATCCCCAACAGGTGGACGCTGCCCCGCACTGATTTTGAGAAATGTCACCTCTGAGAGGAAGCATCACAGAGCTGCACTCCCCTCATAAAACACAGATACACCGGGGACACCGGGGACCCAGCAGCGGATGGGGCAGCGTTCCTGCCAGGTCACCTCACCGTTCTCGGAGGAACGTGCAGCAGGCGTCTTTGATGCTTTGCAGCTGCAGGAAGTTCGCCCCAATCAGCAGCGACTGCACGTTCTGCTGGTCGATGGCCAGGTTGCCGTTGTATGCAAAGTTGATCAGAGCCTCCAGGGCACTGGAGAAAGATGCACACATGAGCAGCTCTGCAGAGAGCGGTCAGGTCCTCACTGAACGGACATGGCCACCTGAGGAGGGGGAGCCCCGCTCAGGAACCCATTTAGCCGGAGTCCTCTGAGGATCTGCCTACGTGATGTAACTACTGTACCCCTACCAGGCTGTTTTCACCACTCAAATAATTTTATAGCAGAAAATTCTGAAAAAGTAAACAATCAGCCACAAATTCACCATTGAAAATGTCATGGTGGTCATTTTCCTGGGTTCTGTTTTTTGGTACTGGGGATCGAACTCGGGACCTTGTGTTTACGAGGCAGGCGGAGGAACAACTAAGCTAAACCCCGGCCCTGCTGGGTGATATTTCAACATGGAAATATGTTATAATTTATTGTCCTATTGGTAGAGCTTATAGAGAGCCATCTTCTGCCATTTAATGCTTTGGGATTCTTATTATTGCTCTGGGATAAATTAACATCATGAGACTCTCAACATTTTTTAGTTTCCCATTCATGATGAGAATGAAATCTGAATTCCAGCCAGAGAGCAGTGAGTCCGGGCCTCTTCAGTCTGGCCTCCTTACACTTGCTCTTTCCTTTCCTTGCGCTATTCTGAGCGCATTTGCACCTCAGGGCCTCTGCACCAGCTGCGCCGTGTGGAGGGGTCTCCAGAGAAGGCGCACTTCCTTAGGTCAGCTAGGGTCTCGCCCCAATACCACCTTCCTGAGCACCCCGCTAGCACAGCCCCTCCTCCTCCGCTAGCAGCCTCACCTGCTTCATCTTCTCCCAGCCCTACCATTCATGTATTTGCCTCCAGCCTGCACATCCCTGAGGCCAGGTCACCTTTGTTAAGTAAAGCACTGGACACGTGGTGACCAGCACGGCTCCTTCAGACCCTGGCCGCAGTCAAGTCTCTCCTTCCCAGGCATGGACCTAGATTTCAGCCTGTGGCCGTCCGGAGGGGTACACACAGCCTTCTGACTCCTTCCTCTAGGTTTGCCACCAGGAGGTTAAGAGGTTAGGTAGGAGATGACTGTGAGCTACTGGGATAATCCTGGACTTGACCTCTTTGTGCTTCAATTTTCTAGTCTATCAAAGAAACATCAAAGCTGCCACATTTTAGACCTGTATTGTACACATTAACCACTTACTATTTAAATTTTTTTTCTTGGTACCAGGGATGGAACTCAGGACCTTGCATTTGCAAGGTGTGCATGGTGCCACTGAGCTAAATCCCTGGCCCTTAGTTATTTTTTTATTTTGAGAGAGGGTCTCGCTATGTGGCCCAGGCTGGCCTTGACATCATAGCAATCCTCCTGCCTCAGCCTCCACTCCCAGAAAATATTCAATGTTAAATTAAATTAAATTTAAAGATTAAGTTTTTCAGTCCCACTGGTCCCATTTCCAATGCTCAACAGTCATCTGTGGCTGCCATTCGCACAGTAGAAAGGGAGCAGTTCCACTGATGCAGAATGGAAAGCACCATCTAGACGGACAAGAAAGAATGTGAACGTGGGCAGTGATTGGAAGAGTGATTCTGCCCGCTAAAATAGCTAGTTCAGAAAAGTGCAGAGTAATACACTACCACCCAGTCCCAGTGTGAAAAAATCCTGGACTCTAGGTGCTATTGAATGTTATTTTAATAGTAGAATGAAAATACCATCAAAATTCCCTAAACAGGCTGGGGAATGGGGGATTTAGCTCAGTGGTTCCGCAGCCTGCCTGAAAGCAAGCCCTAGGACCCGAGTTCAATCCCTGGTACCAAAACAAACAAACAAACAAACCAAATATGCTTTTGCTGCATGTGGTGGCACACGCCTGTAATCCCAGCACTCTGGAGGCTGAGGCAGGAGGATCACTATGAGTTCGACACCAGCCTGGGCTACATAGTGAGTTCCAGGTCAGTCTCAACTACAGTGAGACCCTGTCTCAAACAAAACAAAACAAAACAAAAAAAGGCTGGGGAGTTGGCTCAGTGGTTTTGCCACCTGCCTCGCAAGCACAAGGACCAGAGTTTGATTCCTAGTAATAAAACAAACAAACAAACAAACAAACAAAACAAAACAAAAACCCAAAATCTAGAATGGCAGTGCACACCTTTAATCCCAACATTCTGGGAGGCTGAGGCACGAGTATTGCAAGTTCGAGCCCATCCTACAGAACTTAGTGAAATCCTGTGTCAAAATAAAAAATAAAAAAGGGCTGTGGATACAGCTCAGTGTGAAGGCCTTGAGTTCAATCCCTAGCACTGCAAAAACAAAAATCACCGCCCTTCATTTTAACCATCTTAGGTCACTGGCTGAGGTTCGAACCCTTTTCCTAACCACCTTCTCCTTGTGTGGCGCTGCTAGGCCCTCAAGCGGCCCCCACACAGCCACAGCTGTTCCAGGAAGGCAGTCCGGGACACCCCGGGATGCAGGTACCTTGGGTCCATCCCTTGCATGACAATCTCATCCTGCTTGCACTCCATCATGTCGTTGGTAAACATGGCATGGAAGTATGGGATGGATGCCGCTAGGACGATCCGGTGAGCACTGAACTTGTGGTCCCCGATCTGTGGGCAAAGTGAAACATAAAGGCAGACGTTGAAGAATGCGAACATAAAGAAGACCCTGACTGCGCCATCCAATGATTACCCCTCTGCCACTGCAGTGACACTAAGCTCGACATCAAAGCTCAGATCCAACAGACCCGTTACACCAGAACAATGGAAACAGAACATTTACCGAGGCCTTAAATGGTTAAAAATGGAAGCCTGAAAGCAGCTTGAGCGGCTTTCTTCAATGCCTCCTTCTCCACTGCTCCACCCACCCAAATACTGACCCCTTCAATACTCGACCCCAAATGTGTCTAGATTAGAAGCAGAGGGAAAGATGGACAAATTGTCCAGGATACTGGCACTCCTACCAGCGTATTCTGTAAGAAAGTAAACACAAAGTGACAGAAAGCAACAAGGAGAAACGACGCCAGACTTGAATAGAGAGCGTGCGTTTGTGTGCACATGTGCATGCGTGAGTGTGGTAGTGACCGAGGGCACAGCTGGCACTGTGGGACACCAGCAGCTCAGAGCTCTGCTAGGAAAGGAGCGGCTGGTGCTCTGCATGCCCAAAGGGACGGAGGCCAGCTCCGCCCTCAGTCTCACCCTCGCTCACTCTCGCTGGAGGAATCCCATGGAGCCCTTTCCCTTCAATAAGCTTCCCTGTCTATAGCTCCAAGCTATGCAAACATTTCACTTAGGAACTTTCTGCTCTCCGTAAGAGAACAGTCTTCTCCTGGGTTCCATATTATCAAAATGCCAGGGCAAATCATGCTTGACGTGCACATTACCCAAGGTGTCTGACTCGAGACCTGTTCCTCTGTCTTCTTTTCACTGAACTGCAGTTTATAAACTGCACACAGTCCTTCCAGAACACACACACAATCTTTCAAATGCTGAAGGATTCTTGTCAGGTGAGGCTTTCACTATATTCAGCTTGTTCTTTTGTCCTCTGCTATTTCTAAGTCTGGCCCGCACATCTCTTTGGTCCTCTCCTCAATTCTCCTGGGTCACTGCAGTACGGGAAGCTGGACAGCACATCCTGAGGATCCTGAGGACCCTCCACCCTGTCTAGCCTTCAGGGGACTGCAGGCAGCCCTGGGGACACCTGCTTTGAGACTGCAGCAGAAACCTCTAAGCCACTTTTGGATTTCTGACCCTCAGTAATTGGGAGGTGGCCGGGTATGGTGGTGCACAGCTGTAACGTCAGCACTCAGGAAGTTGAGAGGATCACTGAGTTCGAGGCCAGGCTGGACTACACGGGAGGACTCCCATCTCAAACAAGAACAACAAAATAGAAACTGTGAGGTAATAAATACTGGCTCTTTCAAGTCACCAAGTTTGGGGTAATGTTATACAGAAAATGACAATTACGACATTACTAACCTAACTCCTGTTATGGAAGATTAGGTTCAGTTCTGACACCCTTTTCATATACTACCCCACAGTCCCCTCATCTTTCTAATATGAGTAGGTCAAACTCTGGCTGACCCAATATTTAGGGTGGCATGACTAGCATTGGGCTTGGTGGCGCACGCCTGTAATCCCAGCACTTGAGAGGCTGAGGCAGAAGCCATCCTGGACTGTATAGAGATCAAAGAAAGAAAAAGAAAGGGCCGGGATTTAGCTCAGTGGTGCCGCCCCCTACCTCACAAGCCTAAAGACAAGAGTTCGATCTCCAAACCACAAAACAGAGCAAGAGTCTAGATCGATGGGAATAGTACATATAGCCAGGCCATGGCACTCGCTGTACTACGATGCACTTCCTTTTCTGGGTCATTTTTACTTTCTCTGGAGTGTGAAACCCCAGGCACCGCACCGGCACTCTCACCTGGGGGACTCCTTTTACTGATCCTTCACGGGAACCCTATTTCCTGGGTCTTCCCTTTTTATTCTCTCACTCTGCAGTGTGTCCCCTTGGCAGCGGTGGGGATGTGCACATGTGTTCAAAATGTCTTTCCCCTCAAACTGCTGCCAGCTGGTTAAACTTCTAAATTGGGAAAAAAAAATTTTTTTCCTGTCAGAATTCTTAAAATAGCATTTCAAATTAAGGCTCGAGAAATCTAATGCCATTTTTGAATAACAAGCTTTTTTCTGGAAAAATTTTTAAAAATTTTTTTGTTTTTTTGAGACAGGGTCTCACTATGTAGTTGAGACTAACCTGGAACTCACTATGCAGCCCAGGCTGGTCTCGAACTCACAGCAATCCTCCCGCCTCAGCCTCACAAGTGCTGGGATTACAGGCATGCGCCACCATGCCTGGCTTTTGGAAAAATCTTTAACATCACTTCCTTGGTAATTTTCATCACTCTAATGTATCTGGGGTTTTTTTTCCCCCTATACCTCTGCTAACACTGATGGAATAATCCAGGGTTATCTCCTCTGTTTTCCATTTCTTTCATTTGGTCTATCACCTAGGAACTTTTTAAACCATATCAGCTGATGGAATAATCCAGGGTTCTTATCTCCTCTGTTTTCCATTTCTTTCATTTGGTCTATCACCTAGGAACTTTTTAAACCATATCTTTCAATCTTTCTAGGTTGTAGGGTTATTTAGGGAGGCTATCATATTTTTAACTTCCAAGAAGTCTTTCTCTGCAGGGTTTTTTTTTTAGAATTTTGTTCACATAAAAAATTTTTTTTGTTCTCCTTTTAAGAATATGAGAGTTTCTTTAATCTTTCTTGGTATATTACACAATTAAATGCTTTTTTCACTCTTCCTTGATTTTATTGTTTCCTTTGGGTCATTCCTCTTCTATTTGTTTTGTCTTTTTTTTTTTTTTTTTTTTTTTTTTTTTTTTTTTTTTGGTACTGTGGATCAAACTTGGGACCTTGCGCTTGCGAGGCAGGTGGTGGAACCACTGAGCTAAATCCCCGGCCCCTTGTTTTATCTTTTTTTAATGTCACAGGTTTTCTTTCAATGTCTGGTGACATCTGCTTATCTGTTCATATGTTTCAAGCTGTTGAAAGCTCTACATGACTACACTTCTCAATTTTTGGACTTCTCAGCGTGATCAGGCAAGAATCTGACATTTTATTGAGGACCCCTAGAAGTTGTCACTATCTGCAGGATTTTCTCCTGGGGTTGATTTTATCAGCGTGGCACCTTTCGATCTCTAGGAATGTGTGCTGCAGACACTCTGGAAACTGGGTGGGAGAGAAAGAATGGCTGCTCTTCACTGGTAACACTAGATCTGAAAGCCTTTTCAGTTTTGCTCCATACTCCCTTCTTCCAAATGTGATAAGCCTGTATGTGGAGCCCGGCTTGAGTATCTAAGCTCCAGCTCCTCTCTTGAGATGGCAGGAGAGGGGCTAACAGTAAGGGACTGCTTTCACGCTGACTCCTGACTCATCTCCCTGAGCGGCTGCAGGGTTCTGCGGTCCAAATCCTCTTCCTTCTGTTACTCCCCAGCAGGCACTCTCAGCCCCCGCCCACTTGGTCTGGCCACACACCTCTGGGTCCAACATTCAATTGATTTCTCACTTGCTGATAGCTCCATCCTCCCTTACTATCATTTCAGTAGAGTAACAGGAGGGATTAAAGGTTAAAGTGTTATGTTCGATTTGCTATGTTTCACTGCTGAGCTTTGTTTTTTGGCCTAGAAAATCAGCAGAGGACAAAAACACAAGCTGAATATTGACCTGGTTTCCCCTTGAAAAAAACTCAGCTAAGTAGAACATAGGCTTATCCTGGGATGTGCTCGCCAAATTACATCCGTGTTCCGTGTCTGTTTAAGGGGAACAAGAAATGTGACCTTGTTGAGGTGGGGAGATTGAGCTGGGAAGGGTCTGAAGCCAGACTGAAGAATGGGTGAGGGGCAGCTGGGAAAGGTAAGAAGGTCAGCGTGGCTGTGCTCAAATCCCGGATGATCTGTCACACGGAGGAGGGCAGAGGCAGAAGGGAAAGGGAAGCAGACTTTATCATAAAGAATAAGGGCCCAACATCTAAGAACACTTAGGGGCTCTGGGCTGGTTCTAAATCAAGTGATTACTTAGGTGACCTACTAACTCCATAATCCCATGAGACTACACTGTGAAAAGCTTTTAAAATTATAAACACTCCCATTTGTAAGGTTTCATTTTTTAAATGTTTATAAATTATTTGTGTGTGTGTATTTTTTGTGGGGGCTACATAGGATCGAACTTTGGACCTTGCACTTGTGAGGCAGGCAGCAGCACTATGAGCTAAATTCCTGGATCTATAATTTAAAGTACAAATCAAATTATAAAGTCCATGAATCCTTGCTTTTCAAAATAGTCAATAATCAACAACCATCATCCTTTTATCAATTTCTGGCTTACCTGGTAACTTAGATTTAATATGATAAAATAAAATCCCAAGGGAAAAAGAATGACTGGAGTTGTGTTGATGTTGAAAAATCTTATGACATTTTACAGTAACTTCTGTTATCAGAGTATTATATGTAAATAGGTTAAAATTTTTAGTGCTAAGAACTTTTTAAAACAAAAGCAATTTCTGTTCCCTTTGTCCTCTTTACTCTCACATCTGTCCCAGAGACAATAATTTCTGCTTTATTTGAAGCAAAGTTGTTTTTAGTATTTTTCTCTAGTTTTAAAAAAATAAACTGGTTGTACTTTATTTCACTTAAGAGTAAGTAATTTCAGTTTTTAAATGTTACGTTTTTTTTTTTCTTTTCAGATAGGGTCTCACTAGCAGTATAGGCTGGCCTTGAACTTGTGGCAATCCTCCTGCCTCAGCCTCCCAAATTTTGGGATTATAGGCATATTCGGTAAAAAGTGTTAACTTTTTGGGCAGAGGATTTAACTCAGTGGTGCCACCACCTGCCTCACAAATGCAAGATCTTGAATTCGATCCCCAGAACCCAAAAAAAAAAAAAAAAAAAAAAAAAAAAACTTTAAAAAAATGAGGTGGCTGGGCATGGTGGCGAACACCTTTAATTCCAGCTTTATTTCCAGCACTCGGGAGGCTGAGACAGAAGGATTGCAAGACCAGCCCAGCCTGGGCTACATAGTGAGTTCCAGGTCAGTCTCAACTA